ATCACTGAATGCTTGGAGTTGTATAAGGTGAACAGGACCCTAAGAGCCTTCGTTGCGAACTCGATGAGGATGTGGAAAACCACACTTGAAGCCAATGGCAAGCCACTTACCCAAGTGTCCATCAAATGTGGCATGTACCAAGGTGATGCACTCTCCCCACTGCTGTTCTGCATAGGACTGAACCCCCTAAGCCAAGTATATATATATATATATATATACACATTCTGATAGGACAAGAAAAGACAAGTAAATTCGCAATTTACAGCAGCAAAATTTGGAGGGAAGAAAGTAGAAAAAACAGTGTATTTGCAACAAGTATAAAACAAGTATTTGCATGCACAAAATACATTTTAAAAATAAACTGGTCACAGTACAGAATGCAATATAAAAATACAAAATATAAGACAAAAGCATTTTTGTGTATTGCTGCATAAGGTGGCTGTGCTATTTACAATGAGTGAGTGAGGGAGAGTCCAGGTGCGTTTATTGACAGCAGTCGGCAGGAACGAGCGGCAGTACCTCTCCTTCTTGCAGCGCGGCTGTATCAGTCTCTGGCTGAAGGAGCTGCCCAGTGCTGTCATGTTGACCTGGAGGGGTGGGAGGGTCTGTCCATCATAATAATCCTCCTATTGCCCACCTTCTCCAGAGTGTCCAGGGAGCATCCCAGGACAGAGCTGGCCCTCCTGACCAGTCGGTCCAGTCTCTCTCTGTCCCGCGCTGAGATCCTCCCTGACCAGCTGACTATATGTAAATGCCCACCTTTGAAAGTCTACTTTGAAAAATAACAACCATCTTGGATATGTTTGCTAGTGAGAGGCAATTCTGCACTGCCAAGGTGGATCAAGATGATTGTGTGCCCAAATTGTTGAGCCATGTAAAATGATTACCCTGCTCCAACAGTCCAAATACCTCCTGGCATTGATGAAAAATCGTCGTAGAAATTTCAATTGAATGTTTGTAAATGATAATTACAAACACATTATACTATCAGGGCTTCAGGTTTCAGTTCTGAAGATTGAAGTTTTTAATCTCGGAGCCTTTAGCCTTCGTGTGTGATGTTTACATATTCTCTGACCGCTGTGAGTTTAAGCAGTGAAGAAAGTACACACATGGATAATATAACTTCTTTCAATGAATTAATTTAAATTTCGAAAAATAAATAAATAAATGGAGTCTGAGGATGAAATATTTTGGGCTAATACAGCTGACTCCAATTCCCATCCATCCATCCATCCATCCATCCATTTTCCGATCCACTGATCATCACAAGGGTCGCCGGGGGTGGTGGAGCCGATCCCAGCTGTCTTCGGGAAGTAGGCGGGGCACACCCTGAACCAGTGCCAGCCAATCGCAGGGCACACTCACACCTAGGGACAATTTAGAGTGTTCAATCATCTGCCATGCATATTTTTGTAATGTGGGAAGAAACCAGAGTACCCAGGAAAATCCCACGCAGGCACGGGGACAACATGCAAACTCCACACAGGAAGGCCGAAGGATCGAGGATCGAACCCACAACCTCTGCACTGTGAGGTTGACACGCTAACCAATTGACCATCGGGCCGCCCAACAAATACATTTAATAACTTTCAAAACAATTTTTAAATTACCTTGTAATATGGCTGGCCACTATGTTCATTAAACACATCAATAGGTAACTGTCATGTATGTGTCAATGAATGGAATGTGTCGCTTGCATTAATAATGGAAGTATGACGCCATGGCGTTCATAGCCAATGCTATGAAATGAGTTTATCAAGTGAGAATCCACTTTTGATGTGAAAAATGTAATGCCAGATGGTCTTTTGATAGCACAGAATACACTTTGGCAAACGAGTGGATCAGAGAGTGCAGCAGACATGGTGCCCAATCGCTTGCACCAAATAAAGTATGTCCTCAGACCATGCACACATGATGAACAGAGTACTGCTTTGGACCCGCATCTCAACACCTTAAGTGACAAGCACAGACTCCACTCGCACATATCATGACCAGAAAGCCTCTGCCTGCACCGAGATGGTGAAGGTTTTGAGAGTACGCCCAGTTAAGGTCATCTTCCACCCATAGCTGGTTAAAAATACTTGGCATGGCATTGGTATTTATTGTTACCTACCGTAATTTCTGGACTATAAGCCGCGACTTTTGCCACACGCTTTCAACTCTGCGTTTTTTTTAATGAAGGCGGCCTATTTCAAGATTTCCCTAATGGCCGCAAGGGAGCGCTTGAGCATAAAAGGTAAGAGTGAGACAAGTTGATATATACATGTCGAGGAAGACGTTATCATCCTTCACACTGAAAACAACCGGCCATAAGAGGGCGCATTTGACATGTGTTTTGGGCTGCACTGCATCCACCAAAAATGACTGCCAAAAACAGAAAAAAAAAAAAACCTCTCGAAAGACACTGTCATGAAAGTTGACACGAAAGCGTAGATGGTAGAAAGCCAAATGAAGGAATGGTTGATCGAGTCTTTCAGCAAGTGAGGATTTTTTCATAGGGAAAAACAAGCATTACTTGACGGCGAACAGTGACTTTTATGGGTTTTTTTACCAGCCCTATTAGTGTTGTTTTACTGCTGTTGTGCTGCCGCGTTACAGGCACTATATGAAAAGAAAAGTTAAGGTATGTTATTAAAACTTTGAAAACGCTTTCTGTGTACCGTCTTTCTTTGTAAATATCTCGTTAAAATGTGGGCACCTGCAGCTTACAGACAGGTGCGGCTTATGTGTGTACTAAATGTTTTTTTCCTTTAAAACTCTAGTGGGTGCGGCTTTCAATCAGGTGCGCTCTGTAGTCCGGAAATTACAGTACATGGCATGTCCCTATGGTACACGACTCCTCTTCACTGAAATGTTCACTGCACCAGTGGCGGATGCTGGTCTGTCAAGGAGGGGAAGCTCAATTTCGGGCTACATCGGAAAATGTGTCCGTTTATTTATACGTGAATTCTACTCTCCGTTCCTTTTCAAGAAAATGATCTGTGACCCTGTCATACCAACAAGGCGTCTTTTCCAGGGTCTTAACTGGGGTGATATAAGTCAGTCTGCGAACACAAGCAGCTACAATAAAACACACCAGATATAAAAGATTAATCTGCCGCTAGTCGTTTTTAACAAAGAGAGTGTCGCAAAGATGATTAGAAGAAGTCTCCAGTTCAACTCAGAACAGAATGAGAATTGAAAAATGCTCCCATGGATGCCGACACCAGAAGATCGGTGATTGGCTCATTTCACTGTCAATCAAAAAGAGATTCAGCCTCAGACAGATCATCCAATCATCATGCAGAAAACCTGAGCGTCGGGGCCAGCCTAAACGCCCACTGTCCATAGACTCCCAGAGACGCTGCGCGTCCGATGGGCGGGACAAAACCAGCATTTATCCAATGACTTGTCTCGTTTCAATGCATTGGGACAACGGGCTCCGAACTCTCTAGACCAGGGGTGGCCAACCCGCAGCTCACGAGCCGCATGCAGCTCTTTGGCTGGTTCAATGCGGCTCCCGGGCTTTCACACAAGCGTCGAAAACGCCTCGGCAGTGGCGATGCCATTCAAACGAAGGCGCTAAATACACAGAACGTACTACGTCAGCCTATCATCAATCCCATTACTTGATTGACATAGAAGGCAACCAATCAGATGACTGCATCACTGCTCATGCGCGGACAAAGGCGCTAAGTGCTAAGTGCTAAGCTAGTCAGCGAATTACCTCTGATTTAGGTAGGGGTTCCCAATACATCAATCGCAATCGACCCAGAACAAGTAGACTGGTCCCAAGTCGACCGCGAATGGTGTGAGGAAGAAATGGGGGCGGGGGTGTGTGTGTGTGTGGGCGCTCTGGCTGTTGTTTGTCGTGGTGTGCATGCATATGTGCGCGGGCGCATGGTCGTGTGTGTGTGTGTGTGTGTGTGTGTGTGTGTGTGTGTGTGTGTGTGCGTGTGCGCGTGTGTCTCTGTGTGCGCAGATTCGCATACTGTACTAGATGCTTGCACGTGCGCGATCGGGTCGAACGTGGGAGGTTGGTCGCTCCAAAAGTCGATCTTTGGGCAAAGAGGTGTGTGTGTGTGTGTGTGTGTGTGTGTGTGTGCGCGCACATGCATGTGTGGCTCTTTGCAGTAACACAGTAACAAAAATTGCCTCTTAGTCTCTGACTGGTGGGCCACTCCTGACATAAAGCACCATAGCAATTGACAATATCAAGGACCCAACCAGTCACACCGAGTCACAGCATGTTTTAAAAAAAAATGTTAATCAAAAATTAGAGTTTCCATAGATAACTATGATTGTCAGGTAAGGCATTTGAGAGTCGTTTTTAGAACATTCGAAGTTTGAGTGGGATTTATACAAAAGAGAAGCTTATAATTAAGATGAATCCCTTGTGATTATCCGCTGACTTAAGTACATGTTATCAAGCATCTCAAGTGATTACTTCTGCTCATACTCACTGCGTTCGGAGTGTAAAAGCTGCACTGGTAATGGAGGTAGGAAGCTTCAAGCCTTTGGTGATCTCACGCCATATTTTCTTATTGATGACTTCAACTAAGCCGCCTTTTTCAGTGACAAGCTTGTAGAGCGTGTAGAGATCCAACACCTGCTTTGCCATGATAGGAATCCGATTCACTGGGGTCCCTGCAGAAAGCCAACACAATATCAACAATCCATCCCATTAACTTTGGTTCCTCCCATCAATAGGCGTTTGCATCCTGAAAAAACAATTTATCCTAAGTCAGTCAAAGAGCTGATAGCTTTATTCACAGAAAGAAATATGACATCGAAAAAGTTCTACTTCATTATCTGTAGTGACTGGCAATGGTGGCTTTAAATGGTTTGGAATGTGTTGAAACCAACAACTTCACAAATATGTTGTGATAGATTTAACTATTGTATCATACAGAAAAAAAAGAAAATGAAAAAAAGATTTGATGCTTTTTCGCAAACAAAAGAAACTTAATAAGTTGGCTTTGCAATTAAATATCAGCCAGTAAGACAGAATTTCCACTCGTTTTAAGATTCCACTGTGATTGACCCTGAGATAATTAACCTGCATCTTGCTGCTACAGGTCCATTGTGCCTGTTAGATTTACCATAATAGGGATCAATAGCTCCAGAAATTTAGTGCAAATGGCAGTGAGACCTATAGAGTGAAGTGGAGGAGAGTTTGAAGTATCACATCAGGTAGTAAAACCACATCAATTAAGTTCAGTAATGATGGGTTCATTTTGTGGTCCTGGCATGGGAATGAATGAGACTCAATAAAACAGAAGACTGATGTCCCCCTCTCCTCTATAGACAATATCATCAATAAGTCTCAGGCTAAAGAAATTGAAACCAGCAGAAGAGGCATGAGTTAGAACAAAAATTGCATCAGCAGGTAATGAACTTTCATAGAGAAAGGAATTGGCCTAATTAATGGGGGGTGAAAAAAAAAAGCGCGTCCAGTTGAAGACTACTGATCCTGTGAAAGTTCTACTGACCCTTTGACAATAGTAAGTAGCCTGTGACTAGAGCCATCCTATAAATGTGTAAGACTATTGCCTTTTAATCCTGTTTAACACGTTCATAAAATCATATGGTTTTTGCAGTGGCGGACCCTGAGGGCCAGCAAGGCCTTCTCTGCTGGCCAAAACATTCTCAGAAAAGTAAATTTACTTTTCTGAGAATAACATAAATTTGTTATTTTATTTTCATAAATATGTTAACAAAATTATTCTCTGTATTCTTTACGTCATATTATTTCCACTTAGTTGAGTGGCTTTCAATGTTATTTTAAATAACATTGAAAGCCACTCGAAAAATAACTTATTTATTATGGTAGAGTTTTTAACCAATCATATTTCATCTAGCTTGTGTTGCCAGGTTAATTAAACTTGCTCGGGGCCTTCAGATTAAACAGAGCAGGCCCCTGTGCGCTGTAAATGAACGGGCA